AAAAAAAAAAAAAAAAACAAACAAAAAAAAGATATATAGTGTTCCATCCATCAACAACAGAATACACATTCTTTTCAGCAGCATATGGTATTTTCTCTGAAACAGATCACATACTAGCTTTAAAAAAATGCTTAAATAGATGCAAATCAAAATTATCCCATGCATATTATCAGATCACACTGAATGAAATGATACATCAAAAGCAAAAGAAACCTTGCAAACACACAGAAAGTAATACACTCTTTAATAATCAATGAGTCACAGAAGAAATTACAGAAGAAATAAAACACTTCTCCCTAAAAAACTGGAGAACTCAGAAGAGATTCCTAGACACAAATGAATTACCAAAACTGAACCAACAAGACTTAGAAACTTGAATAATCCAATAATGGGCAATGAAGTTAAAGCAGTAAAAAATTAATAACCAAATTCAGCAATATAGCAGAACATCAAATAAACACAAAAATCAATAGCATTCCTGTACACTACTAATGAACTCACCGAAAAATGAATCAGGAAAACAATACCATTCACAACAACATTAAGAAAAATTAAATACTAAGATAGCAATATGCATTGTACTAACCATTGTGACTCTCCTACAATCTTTTCAAATTTCATATCACTGTTTTACTTTTCTTTAAAATAAAAAAAAAATTAAATACTTAGGAATTAACCCAATCAAGGAAGAGAAAGATTTTATAACAAAAATTACATTATTTTGAAAATGGAGATTGAAGAAGACATCATAAAATGTAAAGATAGCCCATGTTCCTGAATTAATGGAACTAACAGTCAGATGGCTATACTTCCAAAACTGATATATAGATTTAAAACAATCTCAGTTAAAATACCAACAGCATTCCTCACAGAACCGGAGAAAATAATCCATAAAACTCATATGGAACCAAAAGAGACCCAGAATAGCAAAAGCAATTCTGGGTAACAACAGCAAAGTAGGAGGCATCAAATCCCAGACATTATATAACACAAAGCTACAACAATAAAAACAGCATGATACTGACACAAAAACAGAAATGTGGATCAGTGGAACAGAATAGAGGAAGCAGAAATAACCCCAAACACATTTACTATTTGATCTTCACCAAAGAGGCCAAAAACACACTGGAGGAAAGACAGCCTTTTTAATAAACAGTGTTGGGAAATTTGGCTATCCATATGCAGAAGACTGAGTCTAGA